AAGCAATTTGTATTTAAGTTTTTATATGTTATTTCTAATAGCATGTTCCAGGTATGAAAATCAAAAACAAAAATCAATGGAAGCGCTGCTGCGGGATAAACCACACCCAAAACCATGACCAAACTGTTAGTGCCTACATGTGAAAACATGACATTACCAAGTGCTGATGACATCACAATCAAATGACATCATAATTTCATGGCATGAATTTGTATGTATTTAAGTCTCGAGTCGTGAATTTTGTGTCGTAGGCTGTTCAGTGAATGTACGTATATAGACGTGTGCATCATGTGTATCAATTAGCACACGACGCTGCTCAAACATTCAACATTGCTTTACTCCTGACCGATTATTTATTTTATTTATCCATTTCGTGCAATTTTTTTTTTATTTCTGTATTTACATTTTTTTTTAATTTGCAAACTTTATTATATATAACGATATTCTTTTTTTCTCTTGGATATGAAAACATTTCAGCACAAACACAAACAAACACCCACTCACACGTATATTCTTAACATAACCTGTACATAGCTAACGATTGCATGTATTACTTTCGTACATAAACAGCAAAACGCACATTCAACGCTAACCGCACGTTAAACGCAAACGAAACGCAACGCACTTTCAGTAAAGGAAAACGGTCCAGGGTTTGTATTATTAGTAACACAGTTTGCAAACTGTGTAACGAATTTATCCCGTCGAAGGCCCTTTGGGAAAAAAAACTGTTTGTTAACATTTTTGTTAACATTTCATCGGCTGTCGTCTGCACAAACCGCTTGGTCGCCATCTTGTTACAAATTGACTCTTATGGGCAAAGAACGATAACTCTTTCGTACTCACCTAATGTGAGATTCTACTGACCTAATATGAAAATATACTGGATATCATGTGACGTCGTTTTAACCAATAGGACTACAGGATTTTTGCCTGAGGCGGGATAAATAACCCTATGTGGGAATATGTGGTACATGTATCCACAGACACAGTGTGTTATACATGGATGTACATCCATGTGATCCACTGTGTATACATTTATGTAAACATACAAATACATTTTGGATAAACTTGGTGATGAAACTGTCAGTCAAATTTTAAAGACAAGTTTTGTACAGTACCTCTAACGAATCAAAACAAAGATCTGAAAAATACTCCCTGTTGTGTATTAAACGGATGTGGAAAAACCTCAATTACATCAAAGAGGTTCGTTACAAATGTCTGAAATACACATTTGCTGATACTGGCCACAGCACACATATATAGTGTATGTGTGCTGTGACCCATATCAGTATAGCATATGTGTATTTCAGACATTTGTAAAACAATTCCGGACCGCCTTTTTTTGTTGATTATTCACTTTTCAAAATTGGCCGCCATAAATACGATATATATTTTATCACGTTATATTTACATTCTGTATGCTTAGACCCATTGACAAAAATTACATACATAAATGCATAACACAGGTGTTCATAGAACCTCAGCACGTGGGAACTGATGGTAACCTGATCACACTGCGTAGTGATACACTACAAAAACTACTTACTCGGAACGACCGACCTAGATGCTTTATTTTTACATTTTAAAATATTATCGAACTGTGCTTGGTGAAATATGCACGTATTCACGTGTCCTGTGCTACAAATAAACCTTGAATACGGAACTACATTTTGTTGTGTTATTGTTGTTGACGTTTGCTAAGATCTCTCACGATAGCGTCACATTTCCCCGCGAAACAATACTGTTCTCGCCACTGCGTTGCACCCGTGTATAAGCAGGAACAACCCCTGTTTATTTGTTTTATTCGTGGTTATATCGATCCACTGAAAGGATTCGTCAATGCAAATATAAGGAATGATATTTATTTTTTCAACATTCATGAGGTCATAACAACAATGGTTTTATGGACATATTGAATGAATCGCGAGAATGTCCATATGCCCATTGTTGTTATGACCTCATGAATGTTGAAAAAATAAATATCATTCCTTATATTTGCATTGACGAATCCTTTCAGTGGATCGAGATAACAACGAATAAAACAAATGAACAGGGTTTGTTCCTGCTTATACACGGGTGCAACGCAGTGGCGAGAACAGGATTTTTTCGCGGGGAAATGGGACACTATCGTGAGAGATCCTAGCAACCGTCAACAACAATAACACAACAAAATGAAGTTCCGTATTCAATGTTTATTTGTAGCACAGGACAAGTTAATACGTGGATATTTCACCTAGCACAGTTCAATAATATTTTTAAATGTAAGAATTAAGCATCTAGGTCGGTCGTTCCGAGAGAGTAGTTTTTGTAGTGTATCACTACGCAGTGTGATCAGGCTACTATCAGTTCCCACGTGCTGAGATTCTATGAACACCTGTGTTATGCATTTATAAATGTAATTTTTGTCAATGGGTCTAAGCATACAGAATGTAAATATGACGTGATAAAATATATATCGTATTTATTGCGGCCAATTTTGAAAAGTGAATAATCAACAAAAAAATGCGGTCCGGAATTGTTTTACAAATTTCTGAAATACACATATGCTATACTGATATGGGTCACAGTACACATACACTATATATGTGTCTGGTGGCCAGTATCAGCAAATGTGTATTTCAGACATTTGTAAAACAATTCCGGTCCGCCTTTTTTTGTTGATTATTCCCTTTTCAAAATTGGCCGCCATAAATACGATATATATTTTATCACGTTATATTTACATTCTGTATGCTTAGACCCATTTACAAAAATTACATTCATAAATGCATAACACAGGTGTTCATAGAACCTCAGCACGTGGGAACTGATGGTAACCTGATCACACTGCGTAGTGATACACTACAAAAACTACTTACTCGGAACGACCGACCTAGATGCTTGATTCTTACATTTTAAAATATTATCGAACTGTGCTTGGTGAAATATACACGTATTCACGTGTCCTGTGCTACAAATAAACCTTGAATACGGAACTACATTTTGTTGTGTTATTGTTGTTGACGTTTGCTAAGATCTCTCACGATAGTATCACATTTCCCCGCGAAAAATACTGTTCTCGCCACTGCGTTGCACCCGTGTATAAGCAGGAACAACCCCTGTTTATTTGTTTTATTCGTGGTTATATCGATCCACTGAAAGGATTCGTCAATGTAAATATAAGGAATGATATTTATTTTTTCAACATTTATGAGGTCTTAACAACAATGGGTTTATGGACATATTGAATGAATCGCGAGAATGTCCATATGCCCATTGTTGTTATGACCTCATAAATGTTGAAAAAATAAAAATCATTCCTTAAATAACATGGTAGTGATTTTGTGTATACAATATATATTATCACGTTATTACAAGGTAGTGATTACGTGTATACGATATATATCTTATCACGTTATTACAAGGTAGTGATTTTGTTAATACATTATATCTTATCACGTTATAACAAGGTAGTGATTTCGTGGATACGAAATATCAGTTTGAAGTGCGCTCCGGGCGCAGAGTGCATATTTCCCGCATATTATAGAGGGCCGGAGTTCCGACGTTAATCGACGACAGACCGATATTAAAAAAGTCGATAAAACGTCGGAATAATTCGGACTATGAAATACCATGCCGAAGGCACCCAGCACAGCGTTCCGCCCGGTCACATTATACTGACAACGGGGGGTTAACAAGTTCAGTTGTTGTCATAACCCAAAATGCTGAACGTTAAACAGGGAATAGCAACTACCATTTTTCAGGACTTCGGTATAACCCATTGCCTTCCTCACCTTGGCGAACGTTCAATATTAAAGCCAAACTTGGGAAATAAAAGGAAGTTAGAAGTATGGGGAAATACAAAGATCCCAATCGACTTTCAGTCAACTCGATAAAAACTTTACATGTCTTAAAAATATTTTCTAAAACGTGAAAGTCTCTTCAATTTTTAGGCTATCTGCAAGCTGTTGGTCTTTTAATAAAATTTGAGTCACCATAACCACTTTCAATATTCAATTTAACGTTTGTCTTTTACCTTTAATTTTGGTTTGATGGGTTTTTTAAGCAAATAAAATAGGAGAACATTATCAGATAATTGGTATATGTTTCCGTATTAAGGTCATCTTGCATGTTGTGTTATACAAATATTATTTACTTGTCTGACTTGGGTGACCATGTATATTGCTAAGTTTCCGTTACGAGTTGAAGCACTGTATAAATGTCTTTACTTTTTGCGTTTATACACAGTAATGGTATCCCACAGGTGGCATTCATATCACAATAATATAATTAAGAAATGTAATTAATTGTCCGTCGTGAGTAGAAGTATGGCGGAATAATAATACACCGTGAAGATGACATAGTATCAGATTAATAAAATGACAAATGCAGAGGACTGAGGTATTTCTTTCGACAAACATTCTTTTAAGATGAGCTTACTATGTCACTTTGCCGAATGTATTTCGCACGTATGACCTAGATTTCTCACGGGTTTCATCACATTTTCAACTTTTGATCAACATTTAAAGAAAACGGGTCGTATTTAAACGCTGTTTTGCACATTTAAGATGGCTATATATAAGAGAATTATTCCAAAATGTTATTTATTCTTGCTCTGATGAACAATTTATATAAAGAAATACATGTCATCGTCTCCAGTTAAAAATGAACTCCAGCTTGAAAATGTTGATATCAGATGCAAGCTGAGGCATCGACGCAATAAACTTGACCGAGAATGTAAAGAAACATCCGGAATTCAAATGTAGGAAATTAAATACATTGTGTTCTACTATAATGTGACCGGATGGGATGTCCTGCTGGGTGTCTTCGGCAGTATGTTTCAGTGGGGTAGCACTATAAAGTCGGCATCAGTTCCGCGCTATCACAAGGAGACAACCACGAACATATCGCAGCCAACAATACTAAACCAAACCTCAAAAATTCATATTTATCATCAATTGCGATCGAGATTGAATTTTTCTATTGTTAACAATGCTGTACACTTTATTTTTCTTCCTCAGACACCCGAACGCGGACAATGGACAGGAAAGCTGGACTTCATCCTGTCCTGTATAGGTTTCTCAGTTGGCCTTGGAAACATATGGAGGTTTCCCTACCTCTGTTACAGAAACGGAGGGGGTGAGTACATTAATTGGTTTCTCAGTTGGCCTGGGGAACATATGGAGTTTCCCTACCTCTGTTACAGAAACGGAGGGGGTGAGTACATGAATAGGTTTCTCAGTTGGTCTAGGAAACAAGAAGATTTCCCTACCTCTGTTACAGGAACGGAGGGGGTAAGTACATTAATTGGTTTCTCAGTTGGTCTGGGGAACATATGGAGTTTCCCTACCTCTCTTACAGAAACGGAGGGGATGAGTACATGAATAGGTTTCTCAGTTGGTCTAGGAAACAAGAAGATTTCCCTACCTCTGTTACAGGAACGGAGGGGGTAAGTACATGAATAGGTTTCTCAGTTGGCCTGGGGAACATATCGAGGTTTCCCTACCTCTTTTACATGAACGGAGGGGGTGAGTACATGAATTAGTTTCTCAGTTGGCCGGGGGAACATATGGAGGTTTCCCTACCTCTGTTACAGAAACGGAGGGGGTAAGTACATGAATAGGTTTCTCAATTGGCCTTGGTAACATATGGAGGTTTCCCTACCTCTGTTACAGAAACGGAGGGGGTGAGTGCATGGATAGGTTTCTCAGTTGTTGTGGGGAAAATATGGAGTTTCCCTACCTCTTATACAGGAACGGAGGGGGTGAGTACATGAATAGGTTTCTCAGTTGGTCTAGGAAACAAGGAGGTTTCCTTACCTCTGTTACAGGAACGGAGGGGGTGAGTACATAAATAGGTTTCTCAGTTGGCCTGGGGAACATATGGAGTTTCCCTACCTCTTATACAGGAACGGAGGGGGTGAGTGCATGAATAGGTTTCTCAGTTGGTCTAGGAAACAAGGAGGTTTCCCTACCTCTGTTACAGGAACGGAGGGGGTGAGTGCATGGATAGGTTTCTCAGTTGGTCTGGGGAAAATATGGAGTTTCCCTACCTCTTATACAGGAACGGAGGGGTGAGTACACAAATAGGTTTCTCAGTTGGCCTGGGGAACATATGGAGTTTCCCTACCTCTGTTACAGGAACGGAGGGGTGAGTACATGAATAGGTTTCTCAGTTGGCCTGGGGAACATTTCGAGGTTTCCCTACTTCTTTTACAGGAACGGAGGGGGTGAGTACATGAATTAGTTTCTCAGTTGGCCTTGGGAACATATCGAGGTTTCCCTACCTCTGCTATAGGAACGGAGGGGGTGAGTACATGAATTAGTTTCTCAGTTGATCTGGGGAACATATGGAGGTTTCCCTACCTCTGCTACAGGAACGGAAGGGGTGAGTACATGAATTAGTTTCTCAGTTGGTCTGGGGAACATATGGAGGTTTCCCTACCTCTGTTACAGGAACGGAGGGGGTAAGTACATGAATTAGTTTCTCAGTTGGTCTGGGGAACATATCGAGGTTTCCCTACCTCTGTTACAGAAACGGAGGGGGTGAGTACATACATGTCAAAGCGCAATTGTAAACTGTACAGGGTTTTTCATGTCAAATATGATTTAGGTAGAATGGTTATTAACCATATTTGGGATGTTCAATATGTTCAAAATGAAAAACTTGTCGATGCGTTGAACATCCAATCGTATCTAGTAAAGCCTTTAACTTCTATACCCGAGAAATAATTGAGTCATTATCGCATGAAAGCACATTCCCTTTACATTGCATCTGGAATTTGTAATGGGGTTTCGATAGTTCAAAGAATTGGGTCAGCTTGCGACAAAAATAATATAGAAGATGAGACATATTAAACTCTTACTTGTCCTGCTTATTCTGAACTCAGAAACATATACATTTAGCAATAGTCCTACCGACGTCCCAGTGGGTATAAGTTAATATCCAATTGTTGTCATGAATAGTGTTAAAAACGTTAGTAGATGGGTAATTATTTACGGCATGCTACCGCCAAAGGAAAACCCACATGTAGTGATATTGCTGAAGTATATGTTCATCATTGTGTCATAAATGCTTATATAGAATTGTCCCCCGTCATCTTGAAAACTGTAATATGTTTGGTGCAGTATGTATACATTTAGTATATATGTTTTATTGCATTCGGTAATTCAGAAAATTAAAAAATCCTTGAAACTTGAACTATATAACGGAATCACTCTCAACATTGAACGGAGGGGTGAGCATATATAATGTAATGACAATTACTAGTGAACGGAGGGGAGAGGATATATAATGTAATGACAATTACTAGTGAACGGAGGGGTGAGCATATATAATGTAATGACAATTACTACTGAACGGAGGGGTGAACATATATAATGTAAGGACAATTACTAGTGAACGGAGGGGTGAGCATATATAATGTAAGGACAATTACTAGTGAACGGAGGGGAGAGCATATATAATGTAATGACAATTACTAGTGAACGGAGGGGTGAGCATATATAATACAGTCATACTCATCAGTGAAAGGCGGGAGTGAGTGCATGTAACGTAATCACATTCGCCAGTGAATGGATTGGAGTGAGTGCATGTAACGTAATCACATTCATCAGTAAAAAGACGGAGTGAGTGCATATAACGTTAAAACACTCTTAAGTGAATTAATGGGATAGGAAGATAATTAAATGTTATGGTTATTATTACATTATGAAAGTATCTACAACCACGTTCATGTTATAACATCAACACTGGGGATTCAAAGTGTAATCTTTTACGCCATGTTCTTATGTTGTCATGCTTGAAAACTAAGCAAACACCATTTTGAATGAGATATAAAAGCAATATACCGTGTTCTGCTAGTACAAGTAAGCGTATCTAAAAACCTCTGCTTACAAAACTTTATCAACCGTTCAGTTACATGTACGTACATCTTTTCCAAGGCAAACCACTTATTCTTACGTAGCTTTTGTATGTCTTACCAGAAAATCTGCGTTTTTAATTGCAGTGAATAGAAAGACGAGTAAGTGACATTTTTACACTGATACCAGTGTCACTTTGATATCTGTCACTCTGAAATATATCTGTAGTTTTCATGAAGTTCATCGAATCCAATAAAGGTTTCCGTTGAATACTATGATCAGACACAAATGCGTAACACGAGTGATTATGTAGGAATATACTGCCATACATTCCTCTGTTGCGTTTACAGGAGCGTTCATTATTCCGTACGTCATTATGTTGGTGATCGCCGGCGTCCCCCTGTACTTCCTGGAGCTCAGTCTGGGCCAGTTTGCCAGCCAGGGACCCGTCACCGTGTGGGGTCTAAGTCCTATCTTCTATGGTAAGTATTTCTAATAAACCTTACCTTACCTCATGTAAAATATGTGTCAAAGATAACGAACTTCGATCAGTATGTAGTTGTATGTTATCATGAGCAATACTCTCATTTGTGCTTACATCCTTTGTGATATTTTTGTTTACAGGTATCGGCTGGGCCATGATCATGATTAGTGCCATGGTGTGTACGTACTACAACGTCATCATCATGTACTCCGTCTACTACATGTTTGTCTCCTTCGTGAACCTCGACGACGAGTTACCATGGCAACGATGTGGAAAATCGTGGAACACCGAGAAATGCCGTGACGAGCCCTACCCAATGATGGAAAACATGAACGAAACTAGCAAGATTGGTGCCATGCTAGGTAAAATACAACAGCATGTAGTAGAAGCAAATAGTTTGTTTGAAACATGACATAAAGTACTATAATGTGTGGTATTAACAGAGTTTCAAAATGATCCTTTAGGCAAGATAACAACAGAGGAGGCGTGACTGAGTGGCTGATTGTGTTGGGAAGTTAATAGCTGAAGATAGTTAAGTGATCTCTGTCCCATTGCACTGTGCTTTGTCCTATAACTTCTCCTCCTACTTCTGTTTAGATTTAGCTGTAACACGTTTGGTCAGGGTACTTCAGTTTACTAGGTAGCTCAATCGCTTAGAGCAATATTAAAAAGTCTAAGGTTCATATTCAGAACTGTTCCCGTTGAATTTTAACACCAAGAAAACTATTCTATATTTTTATTTTGTTATTTCATATTATTTCTCATTTAAGTCCTGCAATGAATTGTTTCATTTTCAGCAATGATTTGTCAAAGTTTTAGTCATACCGGAAAAGATCAGTTTCTAAAACATACTTAAAGTTTTGGGCGGTGGTACAGGGATCCTTATGTTAATTAAAGATCCACGTACCACTGATAGCTACCAAACAGAAAAGCTGTGCCTTTTGGCAATTCTATGAAAGGGGCCGCGGTTGCCTACGGTTAAGGCGTCTGACATTCTGCTATCACTAGCCCTCAACACTAGATCGCGGGTTCGAGGCCTACGTGGGGCAGTCGACGGGTGCTTGCTGTAGGCAGGTGGGGGTTTTCCGGGAGCTCCGGCTTTTCTCCACCACCAAACCCTGGCATGCCCTTAAATGACCCTAGCTATTAGTATGAAGTAAAACACAAACAAACCAATCAATTATATGAAAACATTAAGATGAAACCAACAATAACAACAATGAGTGTTATAAGAAAATCGTGCATCAGGAGACAGCGAGATTAGCATCTCGGGCCGCTCACAATACAGTCACTTTAACCAGGTACATGTAAGGTAGTACATCACCCTGTCTCTACAATTTTGTCAAAAATATGAGATTGATGCACTGTTTGAATGAAAAGATCCAATTGGAATTCGGAGTGGAACAGGGATCCGTCAATAAATATAGTGTACTTGTATTGAAGTATGATATGTCGTGTAACGGCAATTAAAGACTATTCTATATACTTAATGCATTCCTGTCCTATTTGTATCTGTGAATACAAATGATGCATTGTACGTTCAATATTGCCTATTTGTATGGATATTGTGACCTACGATTAAGTAAGAAAGGTTTAAGGTATATTCATGATTAGAAAAAACCCATAAAATACAGAAAACTGAAGTATCAACATAACCTTCTTTTCAACTGAAATCCGATCAAGCTAGGGCAAAACATGAACAGAGATTTAAGAAGAATAACACCAGGAGTTTCGGAAGTGTAAGCGACTTCTGCTTCATCGATGGCGCCTAAATCTAAGTAAAAGCCATATCCTCAAATTGCAGACCTGCAAAGGGACAATTAGACAGGAATGCACCTGTGTTCCTCACGTGAAACGATTCTTTCCTGAGATAAGAACCAGTATTGAGTTTTAAGGTCTTCAAAAGGTCCTTCCTAATTGTCATTATGTTACTTTTCTAAGTCAAAAGGATCAATTTGTGTTGAACGGCTTTGCTGTGTGACCTTTACCTAATGCTACTTGTCCTTGTCACACTGACTAGTCTAGGGTGTAACAATGTCTATTTGCGATTGTCCCAGTGTTTTCGTAAAACTACTCTCTGACTTTCTTAATATTGTTCTTGGTCTAAAGGACCAGGGTCCGTATTCATGAAACCGTCCGTATACTCAAACTGAGATTGGTGATCAACACAAGTTTCTTGTTCCGGTGATATAAATAGTTTGTAATATTCGCATTTTGTCAATGAATTTGGGTGATTTTAGACAGACTTATAGCTGAATACCGTTTTCAACATCTGTACCTGACTTATTGACGGAATCATAAGATTTATGCGTGTTACAAGAAAGCTGGGTTGAGAACAAAATACATGTTTGAGCATGAGAAAGATTTCCCGAATACGGGCCCAGATATGTGTGTTTCGATAGTCATTACTTTCTCACATTATCCCAATATTCCGTTTCTAGGACAAACGACAAGTCATGTATGCAAATAGTAATGACTGAGAGATGGTCAAATGTGTGTAACAAGTTAATGGCTTTTGATTTGTATTGCCAGTCTTCTTATTAAATCATTTGTGAGTAAATACTTTCTGTTATTGACCATATATTGTTTTTTACTTTTAGGTCTGAAGGAGCAGACATGTATAACCAACTTACTGACAAAGATCGGCGACATGTACAACCAGACTTACACTGCCATTGCCGACCTTAACTCGACCCATTTATCCGAACACACGACTGACTGTGACATCAAGTTTGCGACACCCAGCGCCGAGTACTGGAAGTAAGGACATCACGTGATCAAGGACGTCACATGTGCAAAATACAGCATGTAATAACATATGTTGACCATGGGCATCCAAAGGTCAATGGGGTCAAATTGTTCAATATTCCAAACACAGTGTTACACTGTATACCGAGAAATGTTTAGTTTCTGCGTAATTCGCCCTCCGTAGTGAGGGTGAACTTATCTTCACAGCGAAGTTAAGTAAACAACATCATAATCATAGTAGTTAAATATGAAGGGCGAGATTAACACTGGGCGAAAATTGATTGTATGGACGAAGGGGGAAACTTTGACTGGGCGAAAAATACCCGGTATAAACAATACAAACTATAATACTGTATACGAGGAAACGTACGTCCAATCAAAACTTTCGCCCTCCTACACCAGGAATATCTATAATCGCCCAGTGTTTATTTAGCCCTTCATTTTGATACCATGTCAATGCCGTTGTTAACTAATATTCGCTGTAAAGATAAATTCCCCTTAATCACGGAGGGCGACATATGGCGAAAGTTGATGTGCAGGGAAAAAATCCAACACTCAAAAATAGTAACTAATACTTTCTCACCAAAGGTATCAGAATACGAGGCGTCATATGTGGAATGTAGGGTAACAAATAGCACCTTAAGTGACATATTAAAGACAACGACTATAAATATTAGGACAAATTTTCAATTTACCCGAGTTCCATTGTAGTTATCACAGGATAATCGAAACTAAATAGAAAGTTATACCTAAAACACGATATGACGCGTCATATGTGGAAAGTAGGGTAACAAATAACACCTTAAGTGACATATATAGGTTAATACAGTGTAGGTATATTACGATTGTCAAGGTCAGCGCGTAACAGGAAAATGTGTTAGCCTTAACATCATCTTGAAAAATGTTTATCGTACAAAATAAATCCTTAAACTTGAAGGTAATAATATTATAATGATATTGTCAAATTAAAAAACCCACCAATAAACCTAATTAAAACAAACAGTTTATTAAATAATTCTAAATTATATATCACACCTGTTACATGTGTTTCTTGTTACCTGTATCATCTCTTGAAAATTCTGGATGAGAGTTGTCTTCCTTGATAATTCCTTGTTCATGATTACCTCTACATACATAAAAACCGATAGAATTAAATTAAGTTGACGATATCAAAATTGTCTCTTTGACGTAAATTTTCATGTAAGGTGTAAACTTCATGTTATTACAGAACGACAAAGCAAATATCAACTTTTTATATAATTTCTCTAAATCGTGTGCACAAGGCACACCATCATACAGCCCGCTTCCATATACACGTATCATGTACATGAAACCAGAGGCTATCACATGGTATACCTTTCTGATCACTACCAAGATCTCGCATTAAATATCTTCAATCTATGACCTCTCTCTCTCTCTCTCTCTCTCTCTCTCTCTCTCTCTCTCTCTCAGTAACACTAAAACTTAATTGAAAATATTAATTAATTTAAATATTGCCATCTTGTATATATATATTTCATTATGTTATTGGGAAAGTGCTTTACATAAGTTGGACAACGTGTGCCCAATCCCTTTTGTATATTAGATGCAAATAAAAATATGTTTAAATCAATTATTTACATGCGCCCACTCAAACATTTTCACATGAATATTGATATTACAGAGTTGGTACACTTCAATTGTTAGAACTATTTATTCGATAGAGTGTAACTCGCTGAACAGCAAAACTTGTAACGACCTCGTGAACTGGTGTCATCACGTGATACATATATTATGTACGTATGAGGCCAGTTCACAAAACACACCTGTCTGCTTTCAAAACGCTTCGTATATAACCTTCTCGAAGTCATCTGGCATCATATAAGTGTCTTACCGTGAATCAATATATACGTGTTTAAATCGGACGCTTTATTTCTGAAGTATGTGTGATCATTACACGAAGCATTGCAAACACATTTCTCAGTAACGTCTTGATACTGGGTGATGACATAGCATCGTCATGAACGTGTGCTATTGTTATTATAATTTACACTATGACAATAGCCAATGGCCAATACGCTATACTAAAATGATCATATGAAAAAAATATAGAAAAACATGTATTACAGAAAGTCCTTAAGCAAAACGCGCGAAAATAACTGCCGCGAAAATGAACAAGTTATATAGAACTCGTTTAGAGGGGTTACGAGATTCATACAGTAATGTCACATACATGGTTTTTTTTTATAAAGTGATGACAATCATGTCAGAAAGCCCCTTGAAAATACTGTTTACATTTCAGCCGATATGTATTACGAGTACACGAGGCGGACGGTATGGAGGATATTGGCGGTGTCAGTCTAAAGAACGTCCTCTGTCTCCTTCTCTGTTGGATATTTATCTACTTCTGTCTGATGAAAGGCGTCAAATCCTCGGGAAAGGTCAGTATTCTTCTCCTGTTTGCGAGGATGTTACTAAGGTTGTCAACACAGTTAGCCGTTTTTTCGGTCAGAAAGACTAGGCACCGGTTACACAAACCGATGACCGATTTCTTTAATTCCCCCATTAGAAGCACATTGTTAACTTCATATAAATACGTGCTGCCCCGTCGAATACAGACAATCGAATTGTTTCTATTCTGTGATATGGAGGATTTCAAGTCATCGGGTGAGGTCACCTTTTCTCTATAACATGAATATTTTATTCCTTTATGTCACATCGGGAAGTTTGGTAATATAAGAAGTCTTGTTTCAAAGAAAGGCTAAAAAAATGTCTGAAAAAGTGAGATGTTTTTTGTGGGATGAAGGATCACATGTTTTCAGACTAGGTTAGATGACTTTTGCCGTATATAAGCTCTAGCATTTCTTATGGCGAGGTGGGTTGAATTACTTAAATGAAGATGTCCAGGTCTCGGGCAAAAGCAGTTGTCTTTCTTTGCATGAAGGTTAGCAAATCGTTGGATAAACCAAGGTGTTTTCATTCTGATTCAAAAAATACCAAGTCAACAGAGTAGCGAGAGTCGATACCAGCTTCAAATTCTTTGATCAAACAATAATTTATGTATTCCTAACAAATACATCAAGCCTGGAAAACAAGCCGAGAGGTCACTGTAACATCAGAACGACAGTCCCAGGTTGCCGACGAGTGGTTAGACTTAACACGTGGTTAGGGAAAATTTCAAATATAAATGAAATAAATTCGAGAAAATGAAATATATATTTACTGCTATAGACTTAATTTGTGTGTTTTGATGAATATATTTTTTAATCCATTGTTTCTTATCGACAACGATTTTACTTTTTTACCTACCAACGGTTAAAGTTTATCAACAGTACAGCAACTGGGGCCAGTGCCCGTATTCATGAGACCGTTCTCATGATCAAACTCAGAATCAGTGCTTAAGCCAAATTTCTCGTTTTTTAAGTGGTATATTAATAATAAAGTCACAATTTGTCAAAAATATAGAATAATTTTGGTGAAACGTAACGCCAATTACCGGGTTTTTTTTCATTTTTTTTTTTTTTTACCATGTTACATGATGTAAAAGTGTGACAAGAAAGTTTGCTTGAGAATAGAATTCGACCTTGAGCATGAAAACGGTTTCATACGGGCCCAGGTCTTCGGACAAGGTGGATCGTGTTCTGATATAAAAAAACTAGCAAGTAATGAGGAAATTAAGTCATCTTCACAGAGCATAGGTAGTCTTAGATTCATTGTTTTTTTAAAAATATTTCTTGGGAGTTTACACGCTAGCGCAATTTTGTTGTTCCGCCATTATTCCTTTTTTCACCACCAGGTGGTGTACTTCACGGCTCTGTTTCCATACGTTGTGTTGATCGTACTTCTCATCCGGGGACTTACCCTGCCAGGATATGAAAAGGGTATCGACTTCTACATCGTACCTAAATGGGAAAAACTCTTGGATCCAAAGGTCAGTACAAAATAGTATTTCTGTAAATATTCATAAAAATGTGAAAATTATCCACAAAATTGAGGAAAATTGTGAAAATACATGATATTGAAAGGAAAAAAATATCAGGGTTGGGGTAGGGCTTTCCTGAAGCCCAACAAACCCCTCTGGATCCGCCACTGTCTTCTGACTATTGTAATAATGGATTTTTTCCCTTAAACCAATTTGGATTACATGTTTGTGGCCCAAAATTCATTGATGAATCCTAGAAGTATGTGCAATGTAGTTAATTTTCGCATTGCTTCATCTATTACCAAATTGTGTAGGTGCAATTACCTGTGTGTGTTTCACGCTCATCTTTCCAAAGCAAACAAATACCAGAATGTAATTGCTGTAATAACAGGTGTGGGGAGATGCCGCGACACAGATATTCTACTCCTTGGGTGCAGCTTTCGGCGGAATCCTAACCATGTCAAGCTACAACAAATTCAAAAACCACACTCTCAGGTCGGTAGCTTGATTGATCGATTGATTGATTGATTGATTGATTGATTGATTGATTGATGATACGCCTTGACCTTTCTCGAGATGAAAACAGAGCATAGGACAGAGTTATAAAACATATCAACAAAACATATATACAAAAGTCATAATGAATTGAAAGCGCAAGTTTAAACCCAGTCTCATTCCTCTTCTATTTGTGTAGATATTTCATTTTTATTTCTCACATTGCGACTCCATCATAACGGCATGCAACGCTAAATATAGTTATTGAAACATCCATATCCGGTTAATCAAATTGGGTGACAATTGCGTTTTTAGCTTTAAACATTAAACATTCGATGAACTTGTTGTCATTTTATGCTTCTTTTTTGATATATGTGAAAAAATATGTTTTTATCTTTTATGCTAGGCTGTGTAGAAGCCTTATCACATAAATCACCGATTTGATAATGTCTTAAAAAAAAAATCGTTTAGAAAACCAGTGATTTTTCCCTTTCTTTTTCAGTCGAGATATTTACAAACAAAGTGACTATATATGTTTTGGTCAATAATATGACTTCATTTATATATAATAATATTATTAAACCAGCGCTTACGCATATTTCCTAAAAGTAAATTGTCTAAAGGTATCGATTGCGACAAATCATGTATGTTTTGCTGCATTTTATTCTAGGGATGCCTTGATCATTTGCTTCGTGAACTGCTCGACTAGTATTTTTGGCGGGTTTGCTATCTTCGCTCTCCTTGGTTACATGTCCCACGTGACCAACGTACCCGTGGAGAATGTGGCGGACAGCGGTATGTTACATAACTTCTGGTCTTAACTTTTGAAATACTATAAAAGAGGAATTTTCGTGTGTGTAAATATTTGCGTTATGACTCCATGTTATGAGCATATCGCGCTGTTGAAATTTTCGCCAGGACATTGGTTCAGAAATCTAAATATCCTACATATATATAATCTATATGATACATAAATATATAAATTAGCTTTTGGATATTTGCTTTTCGCTAATTTATTCAACTGCGAACATTTCCAGACTGCGAAAAAAAATCACTTTTCAGTATATTTTCATTTTTAGCCAAATGTTGTAATTATTCAATGATATTAAGGTTTAGGTTGTAAATGTTAATAAACGGTGACCTCCCTTTAACTTGCGTTTGTTTACCTTTAGCAAAGTTGGGCAAGAACACTTCATTGGCAAGGTCGCACAATTGGTCACAGCAACAGCCCCGCTATGTTTTATTCTCTCAGAACACTGATGATGATTATGTTTCATTCATATCATCTTTATTCTCAGAAAAGTATGCTTTCTTTTCAAAATCATGTACAGTTTGTATTAGAACTTAAGTCACGCTGTAAAAACATATCCAACTTTGCGGTGGTACAGGGATCCGGAAGTATCACTGACTAAGTGCTCCGCAAATGTTTACTTACTTTGACTACTGTATCGTCTTACTTAGTAAAAGGTGTCTCCTTGCGTAATATTTCGTATTTTCAAAAATGTATTTATATTTTACCAAAGCCTCGGATCATAAGGTCGTATGTGGTAGATATGATCAAATATTTTCCCCAAACTCTTAAGATCATTAGAACGCATATGACAGATACGACTTTCCCTTCCTTTTCTGAACATCGTGTCGATACGTCCTGCATACTGCGAACACAAATATGCATTTCACTAACTATCTTCGATTACGAAAATCATATATAACACATAAACTAAACACTTGCATATAGAATTTACACAAATTATCCCCCGACCCCTGTTCCTACGTCTTTTGCTCAAGAAAACATTTCAAGGGTAAAACTGTTAGAACAAAGACAGACATGATGTGTTTTTTTCTCCGCATTTCTTGTTGCTTCTGTTGTAAGCTGTTTCGAAAGTATAACTCATTTGACCTTTATGCTTTAAAAGATTAGCTTATTCTAGATTGTTGTATGACCTTTGAGCTAAATATTTGTATGTGAGCATATCAATATATATCATTACCCTGTTTTAAAACCTCTCCAACCTAAACAGGACCTGGGCTGGCCTTTATCGCTTACCCTGAGGGTATCGCCAAACTACCATCTCCTCCAATATTCGCCTTCCTCTTTTTCTTCATGATCTTTACACTTGGGTGTGACAGCCAGGTAAGTTCTGATTTGTACGGCGGCACAGCCTGTGTATGAAGACTATTTCAAATTAAAAGTGTTGTTCATTCGATTATCACTTAACCACATCTTCTATAACCCAGGGTTACACTCACTTTCACTCTCTGCTTCTCAGGACTATGTCATGATAAAATCGAAGGCACAACGTGTGCTACCTAGGTATGAGACAAAAATAACAGTTTGAGCATTTGATGTACATCAAAAGAATATTGTGGTAGCGTAACGGCTATATTGAAGTCGGGTGTCGATCCTTTGTACTTTTAAAGAGCATGAATCGGCTTAGCGATTGGTCAGGTGCTTTATCTGATGCAAATCAAATAGCTAGCCCCGTGCCTTCAGTTTTGCTATACCATATTACAGGGGTGCAGAAGGGCAAGTACGCGTAACCCCTGGAGTATCAAAGATGACTTCACCAATATCTACTTATATATATACATTTTTGTTGTTCTGCACTCAACTCAACCTACTTACTGAATATAATCTAAAAGCTTAACTCCAAGAGGTGTTTATGTTAAGTTTTTAGTTTTGTTCAATTTTACACTACATGTTTTTGCGCTGTGTTGATTTTGCGTTATACTGGTATCTTACCTTTTGATGTGTTCTGTCTATTAAAAAAACCTATATCTGTTTTATTGAATTAGCTTAAACTACAGAATTAGATATGGCGGCAATGTACTTTCAACACATTTATAATTTGTATTTTCCACATACACATGAAAAAAGCAATGTTATTTGTATTTGCGTTTTGCATTTTTTAAATTGTTTTATTGGTGTTTTTTTTCAGTTTCCACGATTTTGATTTGTGTATTTCATTTTAAATTTTCGAATTTATACAATTTAAAGCAAAACTTTTACGAAGATGTAGAGAAAACTCCAGTCTCTAGCTAAAATTAACCTCTTTAGCTTACATATACCGTCACATTCTTAAACAATATCTGACTTTAATAAACAGACCTTATTTTGCGTATTTTCTATTATGTTTGCGTGAACATCATTCATGTTTGCGTGAACATAATTCAGGTCTCCTTTATGTTGATTGTAAGGTTTCGTGCTTTTTGTATTTATTTACTGCGGGACTAACAGTTTTCGTTGTTGTCGTGTTAGGTTTGTGATTTATTTGCACCGTGAGCATCATATACATAGAGGTGTATTCGTGAAAAATATCAAAATACTAGCCGCACTCGTGAAATATATTTGTTATTACTGAAGACATCATTGAATTTTCTATTTATTTAATTTTCAAGGCATAAAACATGAAAAGTGTAATGCATTAAAAAAGAGCGGGAATTAAAAGCGTAATAGTTAACGCCATATTCTGATGACTGCACGCCATTTGAATTGGATACTCAACGCGATTCCGACGTTTTTTGCTATTTTCTGGTATAATTGCTTACAACAATGTTTTTAATTGTATATTTATGTAAATACTTAAGTGTATGTACCAAACATTTTCCATGACAACCACTTATTCTACCTTCGCTTCATTTGAATCTGAACAAAAAATCGTTTCTATTGAATGATTGGTCCATATCAAAAAGTGCTATTTTCATATTTGTTACAGTGTGAAAGATATCATTTTAATCAAGTTGATAAAATCTTATATTTCACTGGCAAAAATGTAATAAATACCATTTCTCTAATTTCCTTGTGTGTAATATAAAGCTGTCCAGGGTAAGAAAGTGGTGTAGGGAATTTCTATATAACACCCCATTTCACGTGACCTGACGTACAATGGCTCAACAATGACGTGACGTCACGAACTTGGAACTCTCCGATGCCGCAATGCGGAAAAGGCGACGTGATGAAATTAAAACCTTTTAAGATATATTTATCGTACACGTTTGAAAGATGAGATTTGTATGCGCAGTGTTGTTTGCAAGTATGGGATATGCTAAATCTGGCTGGCTAATACGTTTTCGTCTAAAAAGTTCAGGGGGAAAATTGATATTTTTCAAAATGGTGGCTAATCCAAATGCATTTTCTTAGATTAATCTGGTGGTTGGAAGGAAAGAAAAATACTCTTTCCTGCCCAAGGGTGTAGGATAGGGAAATTTCACACTCGGGGTTTTCAAATTTGGCAAAACCCTAAAGCCTCGAGTTTAACCGAAAACCCCTCGGGTGGAGTTTCCCTGTCCTACACCACTGTGCATGAAAGAGTCTTATATGCGTTGAAAACAAATTATCCCGTATTTCGTTTACAATTGTAATAACGTCGTTATAATTAACACTAAAACGTATATCTATGAACTGTGAAGCGCTTTAGAGTGGATTATGCTAGCTAGATAGGGTGCTATATCAAATGTTGTATATTTATTTGTAGAGTAACATTTGTGATTTCATTTTCCCGAACAGTTTGCTATGATGGAAACCGTCATAAGCGGGTTCTCGGATGTGTTCCCTAACCAACTCCGGAAGAGGAAGGCTCTCTTTACGTTCTTCTGCTGTATGGTTGGATTTGTCCTTGGAATTCCACAAACTACGAAGGTAAACATAACAGTAAACCCTAACCCTAACCCTATATCACTTAACGATACCCGAACCACTGCCTAAAACTGTAACTAAATGGTGAAAATGGTTTTTTTCGGCATGGCTTTAGCTTTGATAAATGGTTTCTGAAAAGAAAATCGTACCTTGCGGAACTTTTATAAACAATACTAAACATGAAAATAATGATTACAGGGCGGGATATACATCCTGACGTTGGTGGACTGGTATTCCGGAAGTTACAACCTCATGATAATCAGCTTCTTTGAGATTGTGGCGGTGTGTTATGTTTATGGTAAGTTCTCGGAGTGTACTTCAATGTTTAATGATGGTAAATAAATCAATACGGTGTTCTATGTATATGGTAAGTCGGTGTGGTGTGTTATGTAAATGATAAGTATTTGCGGTGTGTTATATATATATATGTATATGTTAATTCGGTGGGGTGTGTTATGAATATGGTAAGTTCTAGTTGTGTTTTACAATGATTCTCGTAGTACACCACATTGCTTGTATATGGTAATTCGGTGCAGTGTGTTATGTTTATGGTAAGTTTATTATGGTTTTTATGAATTCTGCACGATTTTTGCCCCCTTGAAACAAAGACATGTCTCATTTAAACCTAAACTCGTTTAGGATCCTATGTTTGTAAACTTGATTTGTTGGTATATCAAACCCACCTAAACGCTTGGTGACGTTAGTTGGTGTAAGCCTTGTTCTTTTTCAGGAATAAACAACTTCCGGCGCGACATCGAGATGATGATCGGTAAACAGAGTATTATAGTCTGGGCTTACTTCTACGCCACCTGGTGTTTCATTACACCCGCCGCCATCATGGTAAGCGATAAGAACATGAACCTCGTTATACTGCCACAATTTGTCTAGGAAAATTTGGCGTTATAAAGGAGTTTGGCGATAAATTGAGGGATATTTAAGAAAATGACATTGAAATACGTTTGGCAGTAAGCGAGGTGTCAATTTAGATAAGGGGCATTATATCAAGGCTTTACTGTACAGCGTTATAGTGATCAACACGAATTGATACTGGCGGGCCGCTTGCTCGTGACTTTGGTTAGAATGTGTGACGTTCTTTTAATTTTAAAATCCGAATTCGGATGAAATCCAAGTTAATTGATTATTATAAATGTATGATTATTATAAATGTATGATTATTGTGATTATTATGATTAATCACAACAGGTCGCTAGACAAGAATTATCATTAAAGAGGTTTCGATTATCGAGGTTGATGAAAATGGAATGGTCACTAAAGAGATAAGATAAGCATACTGATTGAGAGAGAACTGGTGACGAGAGCGGTTTTGTAATCGGAGTTTATAAAAAAGGAACAAGGAGTAGATATACATGATTGTTTGAGTAAGTGAGAAAGGAATATACACTACTGGAGACTCTAAAGTAAGGTTTATTTACTGGCAATGATGAAACAGGAGTACAATAGTTACTGTTGATGTTATATTATTAGTATTATTTCATTCCTTACGGCCCTTCAACACAAGGAAGATCATTAAGAAATTACATCGAAATACCAAAAGGTAAAAGACAAACGTCAACTTGAAAAAATGTAAAAGTGGCTATGATATAGTTATATCTTTTTGAGCAGACCAACAATTATCAATTGTTGAGATACTGACATTTTCGAAAAGTGATTTGAGATCTGTTATTTTATTATAATAAGTTTCTACTGTTGACTGAGGTTAATACAATCTAACAACAAGAGGGGTTTGAATATTGACGTTTTGGAGCAAGGAATGGCCAATAGGGGTGACACAACTGTCAATACAATTTGAGACTATACTGATATTCGATGTTTATATTCCACTATTTTTGTTTACAGTTCATTGTAATAATGATGGCCATAAACTACTCACCCGCCTACCTAGGAGATTACAACTTCCCTGGCTTCGCCGAGGCTATGGGCTGGCTCATGGTTGTTACGCCCCTTCTGCTGGTAGTAGTGGGAGCAGTGGTCCAGTCTATCAGGATGGGCGGGGTAGGTCAAGTTAGCAACGCCCTTCATTTTGCTATTATCCCTCCATTAACTTGAAATACTGAATGAATTGTTGTTTTTATTGCAATTATTTCAAATCTTATATATAGATTGATATGCCATATTATCATTTAATCATAATTTGCTTCGCTGTAGTTTTCCCAGAATCCTTTTCGAAAATTTGTAATTTGAGTTGAAACTAAGCTAGGGCATTTAAAAAATACATTCAATAAGTAACGATTATGGTATAATGGGGTGTTTTCAAGAACATTTTATTATTATTTATCGTAGCCGAGCATTTATTTGTTTTTAACTATATCAAGTATAATATTCATACAAATGTACATTGTACGCCCGGCAACGAAAACAAATGGTTACGTCCGTGTAGGTTAAATGAGCTCTTCGTAAGAAGTTGCCAGTTTACTTAAATAGAAGGGAATTTTCATTAGATAATTTGTAGGTATATGCGTTGTGTATTGCCATCATCCTCATTGCTCAGGGGTAACCCTCACTTACGCTCTCTGTGCCCCTGGAATATGTCATAGCAAAAGTGAAGGCTCGGTGTTCCAGGGGGTACAGAGAGCGTAAATGAGCGTAACCACTGGAGTATAGAGGATGCTTTAACTTGAAATATATATCGTCATTATTTACCGGTGCTGACTGGTCATATACCTTCACGACTGACTCTGTTTGTAGGTAGTAAAAGCCCTGAAGCCCAGAGCAGACTGGGGTCCAGCTCTGGACGAGAACCGGCTACCCCCAAGGTACGCACCTATAAACACCGGAGGGTTCGATGACATTGGTTACAACCCCAAAAAAGGACAGGTGTTCGTCGTCAACAAGGGACAGGACAATAACGGCTACAAGGGGGAGAAAATGTAACCTGGAACGGAGGGGATCTATCTTCACTGTAAAAAGGAAATTCTAAATACAGTAAAACCTCGTTATACTGTCACCATTTGTCAAAGAGTGAATTGGCGTTATAAAGGGGTTTGGCGATAAAATTGATGAAAATGTATAAGGAATTCATAAGAAAACAAGAAGACGGGATATTGGAATATATTGGCGCTAAACGAGGTGGAAAAAAAACGAGGGGCATTATATCAAAGATTCACTGTATACAAGTGAAATACTATTTCATAACGGAAATATTATTTTCACGAATATTTTCTAACGCACATTGAAGAAAGTTTACTTTGACAATGAAAACTGTAAATGTGAGAACCTATTTCAAAAGAGAGAAATACTTTCGAAAAGTGATTCACTTAAAGTACAAAAATATGTGTGAGAAAAATATAACCTTTGAAATGGCATATCAATTCTGAGTTTTCCTCAATGTCTCGGAATTGTTGCATACAACATATCTTTAATCTTACATATAATAAAAACCCAATATCGTATTCGGATCGAGGTAATGTGATGAAATGTATATCAAGTATAATCTTTTTTAGCTGTTACGTGAAGTTGACATTACTGCATTTTGCGTTTTAAAACCGTCATTTATCTACTAACAAGTGATGTTTTATAAGGTCTTGGTGATATTTCGTGGGACGCAAACAAAGAAGCTGTGATATAGCAATGAACGATACAAAGAGTTAGTAACGAAAAGGGAAACCTTGATAGTCGTTTTTAATAGGGTAGGGATTGAAAACTGTTTTCACAACTGAGGAAATCTGATTAAGATAAGAAAAAGTCAAAGTATGTGAAGAAGAAACTGTACAAATATGACTGTAAAATGGGGACCTGAAGATAAATATACAAGAGAAAAAAAATTCACACGGTAAAGAAACTTCTTACAAAGGAGAAACTCTTATTGTACTAAGGATGAAAAATCTTATTATGTAAAGGAAAAACTCTAATTGTTAAGGGGGAAACATGACTGTACAATAGGGATCTGACGGAGAGGAAGTCTTTTGCACGGAAAAGCAAAGTTCACATAAAGGAGAAACTCTAATTGTACAAAGGAGAAACTATTATCGTAAAAGGAGAAACTCTTATCGTACAAAGGAGAAACTCTTATCGTACAAATGAGAACACACTTATCGTACAAAGGAGAAACTCTTATCGTACAAAGGAGAAACTCTTATCGTACAAAGGAGAAACTATTATCGTAAAAGGAGAAACTATTATCGCACAAAGGAGAAACTCTTATCGTACAAAGGAGAAACTATTATCGTACAAAGGAGAAATTCTTATCGTACAAAGGAGAAAACACTTATCGTACAAAGGAGAAAACACTTATCGTACAAAGGAGAAACTCTTATCGTACAAAGGAGAAACTCTTAATTGTAAAAAGGAGAAACTCTTATCGTACAAAGGTGAAACTCTTATCGTACAAAGGAGAAACTCTTATCGTACAAAGGAGAAACTCTTATTGAACAAAGGTGAAACTCTTATCGTACAAAGGAGAAACTCTTATTGTACAAAGGATAAACTATTATCGTAAAAGGAGAAACTCTTATCGTACAAAGGAGAAACTCTTATCGTACAAAGGAGAAACTCTCATCGTACAAAGGAGAAAGTATTATGGAGCAAAGGAGGTAAAATTAATGCGTATAAGAAGGGAGCCGAAAGCAGTGTTATTGTTTCCAATTATACACACAAATGTATTGTGCAAAGGATTTGTAACCGAATTAATCAATATCACTGAAATTTAAACTACATTTAAATTGTCTTTTTGTTTATAGCTGACTACAATCAGAAACTAATAATATGTCTATCTCAATTTGTGTTTACAACAACAAATACTTGTTTTTATGTTTGGTCATGTTTTTTCATCTTGCAAATCCAAGTTTTACCCGTTCAATTTCACATATCGTAACAAAATTGAAAATAAGTTATTTGATTGCTACAGTACCAGAGATAAAAAAAAAAAACCACCAAACTTCTGATTATCAGTTGTAATATTCTTTAAAGATTATTAAAGAACTTACCCAAGATTTACACCGCCAACTTTATCGTTCAACTGTGCACCATTCATATTGCCGTTATTCAAAACAGTAATCCAAGAAAATGGGTGTCTAGACATTGTCAATTGGTAAAGTTTGCAAGGTGGCGTTATCCAGGAGGGACTTGGCAAAATCCGAAGGTAGTGCTAGAATTGTAGAATGCTAGCTGTGAGCGCCGAAATGGCAGCACCGGCTGTATGCTCCCCAGGGAGTTGAGAATGATATTGGATTGTTGCAAAGGCCCCATAACCACAGATAATAATTTGTGAACCGCTTTGAGACAACATACCAACTAGGTTGTGATAACGCGGTATATAAGAACCTCGAATTATCATTATGATTATATGTTATATCGAGTGTGTAACTCTTCGATTTCATAAACGTGCTGTTTATTATATGTCATAGTGTTTTCTGTTTATACCGAGTAACTTCCTGTATGTTATATACAATGCAGGTAGCTATGAAACCAAATCAATGTTCATTTAACTTGAAAACAGTCTCAAATACTTCAGTGCTCTGATATAAGTAAGTTTTCAGTAAGTAGAATGCTGGTATAACACAACCTAAAATAAAAAGGGATACGTTTTTATCTCAGTCAGATATTTCTTAGTTTTGTGTTTTGAAAATCATGTATTGCAAATTACATATTTTTTACCACTTGACTGTGAAATGATATATTTTCGTGAGGAATTTATTGCTGTTGATTTTGTTCGATATTCAAAATCAACGAATTTATATTTGCTATGAAATTTTGGCAACCAGCACAACGGTCATTTTTTTTATATGATATATGTTTATGCTAACATTTCATTTTTCCACTATTTTTCCCCCTACGATGTATTTTTTCAGTGGCGGATCCAGAAACCTATCGGGGGGGGGGGGGGGGGGGGGGATGGTGAAAATACATAATTTTTAAAGAAAATTCTCAGGAGGGGGGAGGTCTTGAAGCCCAAAAAAAACCTCTGGATCCGCCACTGTATTTAAAAAACAAAATAATTTGGCATTAATAAAGGCCAATTGTTCAAATCCCGGTAAGTTTTATAATTTATTAACACAAAGATTTCATTTATTGTATCAAAAAATAAATAAAGCCCCAAACTAAACAAAAAGTGTTAATAAAAAAAAATGTTTTGTATTCCAAATGTTTTTAAAAAAATCAATTTAGAAAATTTGAATTGATGACTTGTGTAGTGAATCGGGCTTTGAACAATGGGACACATTTAAACAAACATACGTATGTGCCATGATGTTATATAGATACATTATATTCTTCACCTTGTTCTTTCAAAATGAATACATCATCAATTTTTATATATTTTTATATGTCATAAACTTTGTTATACATGTTTTATTCATATATTATAATCATATACATATTCAAATAATAATAAACATATTTTGAGAGAAATTAAAAACACTTTTAATGTTTCTACTGTATAGATATCTTATTAGTGAAATAAAATGGTTTACTAGCTTGTAAGATAGTTATTTCTTGGGTAAATGTTGCTATTTGTGACGTCAATGATAACATTTATTCACAATTATTTAATTTTACTTCTTTGTTTTTGTGAATGTTTCGCTTTTGTTATTTTCCGCAGAATACAGATATGCCCGAAATATAAGTCTCAATGCCTCCGAAGTTATTGGTATGCTAATAATGAATCAGTAACGTGTATTATTGAGATGCGTTATACCGTGATTTATGTACGTTTCTCAAAGACGTATTATAACGAGAAGCTAGCCGAAAGATACTGTTAACGCACAAATCTTAGCGGCAGTCCTATTTTAGCGTTTTATTGTGGGTGCGCCAATTCCGTAATACGCCACTCGGTTAAAAATCGACATTATGCTAACTTTGGGTGCGCTAAAATAAGCACGTTTTCACTATGTACTATTCCGTCTTTGCGTATTGCAGAGTTATCTTCTCTTGTGACTAGGCATTGATTGTTACGTCCTTTGTTTTTGAGAGTAAAGTCATCAATTTTTGAGAAAACAACGCAATTTTCTCACACAAACCAATGACGGAACAATCAATACCTGCTCCCAAGAGAAGATAACTCTGCAATACGTAAAGACGGAATACTCATTGTGTGTTAGAAGTTTGGACAGAGGCCGCTGAACTATCATTTTTCGTATATGCAGTGTTACTTTCACATTGACTTGTTTTTCATAAAAGTTTCGGAAGGTAAGGCTTTTTTTCAGAAATGATTTTTCAAAGCTACAGTCATGCAGGAGAAATCAGTTTTCAGTGCGTAGTTACAGTTTATAGCAGTATAACGGGAAAACTTAAATGGTCATTATCACGAGATCGGTTTTTTGCGGATTGTAGGGCTAGAAGACTTGGTATAAAGCGCTATTGTAAAGTCAAAGCTATTAAATTTTTCGCGAGATGTGTTGTTCAAAAAAAAATAAAAAATCGCAAAAATCGCAAAAATTTACAACCCGCGAAAAAGCGATATTTACAGTACAATACATCACTCGGAACTTCTCGGCCGATACGGTCATCTAACCTCGGATGTATGACGTAAGCATCCATCTTGACGGAACTACTTTCAAGATGGTTTCTCTGACAGCAGACGGCGTCCGTAGCAACGATTTCTCATGCGGGTCAGCACTCGAGAGTTTGGAGAACGTACCCATGATTTATCATTCGTTATAAGTTAAATATATCTGTATCATATTCAAATCAAGAATTAATAATTCAAGTTATGTATACCATGTAATACCGTATGTTGAACTCTAAAATGTTGGTGACATTAAACTGATGGCAGCGTCCGTAGCAGGTGTGACACCTGTCAAGACGTATGTGTGTTTCAAGAAGTGTATGCTTTGTAACAGTGACACACGGAGGTTACATGTTTTATCAAAAAATAAGGCAGTAAATGCAAACTTTAAAGACATTATTCAAGATTGTCTAAGTGTTGAACTTGACTT